CGTGAGCGGTCGTAACGGTGCTGTAACGGCCTGTTACGCACCGTTACGTAACGGTTTGAATTGCTTCTTTCGAAAAAAAAAAAAACTGAAAATGGGGAAGAGAGAAGAGGAAAGATGAAAAGGGAAGATGGAGGAGTAAGAATAGAGAGAGAAAAGAGAGAAGATGATGAACTGTTTATTGATTTGTTAAAGCTGTAAGACCTATTACTATTCTATTCAGCTATTATCACTCAACCATTTTGTTTGTATGCGTCTATCTATATATAATTGTTTGAAATAATAATAATAATAAATAATATATAATAATAATAATAAGTGTGGTCATTATCTATTTATATATATTTATATTATGTATAGGCTAATTTATTCTTGTACTTTTGTCATTGTTTAGTGATTTGATTTTTTTTTGTAAAATATCTAGAAAACATAACACCTATAATTATATATTAATATATTTTTTATACATGTCAATTTTTTTTGATTAGTTTATTTTATTTTTATTTACTAGTTCAAAAAGAGAATGAATATTCCAGTGATCCAAACCCAAACAAAAAAAAAATTCTTTATAATTTATTTTTTAATTTTTATATGATTACATTAGCATGTATAATTTATTTTTTAAAACTATTCAAATTAAAAGTTGCATATGCTTCCACAAGTATAATAATTAAAAAAAATAATTTTATACATCTAAGTCCAATAAAAAAAAAATTTGTTGCCACAAGCATAATATGGATTTAGGACATATAAAGTCATTAATTATTAAAATAAAATAAAAAAACTCAGTTTATAGTGATTTAAAAATATAAAATATATTGGATCATATTTAAAAATTTACAAAAATTGATCAATATTTATTTTAAAACCCAATAAATATGATTATGGGGAAAAAATATGCGTATTGGTAAGTTTTTTTTTTAAATTGTGCAAAAAATAAAAAAATTCACGGTTCCGATTACCACAACCGTTACGCTACGACCTTTACACCCCGCAACCGCGTCACCGCCACCGTTACAGCGACCACAACTGCTTTTCAGAACCTTGATCTTAAAAGAAGTAGAAAATTGAGTTTCAACTAAGGCCTTGAATTCAAGAAATTTAGAAAACACCTCATTCTTGTAATGCAAAGGAAATAACCAAGCAAATTTGTTGAAATCATCAATGAAAACAACATAGTACTTGTAACCAGATACAGATGTAGAAAATGAGCCCCAAACATCTGAATGAATAAGAGCTAAAGGTATATTAACAGTGGAATTAGACAAACTAAATGGTAATCTATGTGTCTTAGAGACACAACATGCAGTACACATTCTTGACGAAGTGTGTGAAGACAACTGTAAATTGCGTACAACGTGTTGAAGCTTTTTAGATAAAGGATGACCAAGTCGAAGATGCCAATTTGGACTTGATTGCTCAACAGGTACATGTGCAGCAGAGGTGGAAACTGTATTGGTAAAGCAAGATTGAGGACAAGCAGCTGATATGGAGGCTAGAGAAATGAATGAAGCATGGGAAAGACCTTGAGAATGAAGACCTATATACAGGATTTTCTTGGTAGCTTTGTCCTGAACAAGAAAACCATCAGCATCAAATGTAATAGAGCAATTGTTATCTGAAACCAACTTATGCACAGAAAGTAAGTTAGAAGAGATGCGAAGAACATGGAGAATGTTATGAAGATACAGAAGATGAGAAGGAGTGGGTAGTAGTTCATTACCAATGTGATAAATAGGAAGAGTAGAACCATCACCAATTGTGACTTGATCAATACCTTGATAAGGTTGATATTCAGATAGATGATTTAAGTCATTTGTGATATGACTAGTAGATGTTGAATCAACATACCAAGTAGGAGGAATAGGTGAACTCTGAGAAGTAGAAGCAGAGGCCACATAAGCTTTAGGTATGGGTGGCTTGGTAGAAGCTTGAAAACTTTGATCCATTCAATAGCAACATTCCAAGGTTGTATGATTGTATTTGCCACAGATCTAACATACAATTCCAGAACTAGTACCAATTTGAGAAGGAACACCAGATGATTGAGAAGTTTGATGAGAATTGTGAAAATTTTGCCTTCCTCCTCTACGAGAGCCTCTGAAATATCTGCCACCTTTGGAGGATGAAGGACCTCGAAAACCTCTTCCTCTAGCAGAACCACCTTGGTGAGAATAAGATTTTGTAGTTGCAGCATAGGCAAATTGAACTTAAAACCTCATATCACAAAAAGTGTTACACAACTATTAAATCAAATGTCCTCATTCATACCTCAATTATAAAATTAACCACTTTATATGAGATAAGGGATTTCACATAATTTTATAAATTTAATTCTAACTAAATAATCCCATCATAGTAACAAATCACTACAAGAAAAGTGGGTTTATGAGAGGGAACTATTTGCGACGGCACACTTGCCGTCTCAAAAAGTCACTTTTTGCGACGGCAAAAAAAGTCGTCTTAACAAAGTAGAGTATTTGCGACGGCACCATTTGCCGTCTCAAAAAAGCAGAGCATTTACGACAGCATAATTTGCCGTCTCAAAAAATGAGAGCATTTGCGACGGTATTTCCCTCACTATGTTCTGTCTCTCTCTATCTCTCTCGTCCATTTCTCTTCTCTCTCTGTCTCTCTCTCTTTTTCTGTGTCTCTCTCTCGCTCATCTCTTTTCGCTCTATTTCTCTTTTTTTTGTCTATCTCTCGCTCATCTCTTGTTTCTTGACTTTCGTGTTTTTTTTTAATTTTTAGTGAATATTTTTAAATTTTTAAATATTTTTTTAGATACACCTTACTTAGATGTATCTAAAAAAAATTATGAAAAAATATTTTTAAAAATTAATAAATACATAAAAATACAAAAAAAAATGTATTGAATTATTGTATTTTTGGTATTTGTGAATTTTTAAAAGATTTTTTTTACAATTTTTTTAATTTTTAGGTGTATTTATGTTAGGTGTGTCTAAATATTAAAAAAAAAATACTTAGAATATTAAAAAAATTCAGTAAAAATAATATAACACGAAAAACAAGAAAGTATAATTTTCTCAAAAGAGTTTTTGGAAAACTCTAATCTAGCATAGTGATTGTGGTTTTGAGACAGCTTCATATATATACAGTCACAAAATGGTTTGAATAAATTCAACGTTATTTTTTTGTCGCAAAAAAAATTAAAAAAAAAACAATGTCGTCTTACTCTTTTAATATAGCATTTCTCTTTTCATTCATTTTTTCATCTTCCTGTCTCTCTGTCTCTGTCTCTATCTCTCTCTCTCTTCTCTTTATCTCTTTCACTCACTACTCTTCTTTCTCTGTCTGTTTCTCTTTCTCATTTTCTCTCTGTGTCTCTCGCCTATCTCTCTTCTCTCTATCTCTCTCATCTGTTTTCTCTCTCTGTCTCTCTCGCTCATCTCTCATCTCTCTATCTCTCTCTCTTATCTTTCTATCTCTCTCTATCTCTCCCGTCCATTTCTCTTCTCTCTCTGTCTCTCTCTCTTTTTCTGTGTCTCTCTCTCGCTCATCTCTTTTCGCTCTATTTCTCTCTTTTTTGTCTATCTCTCGCTCATCTCTTGTTTCTCTCTCTTTTTCTATCTCTTCCTCTATCTCTCTCTCTCTATCTCTTTTTCTGTCTATCTCTCTCTCACTCATCACTCTTCTCTCTCTCTCTCTCTCTGTGTCTACTTGTCTATTTGTGTATTTTTCCCTCACTATGTTCGCCTTGCTCACTCTCTTACTCCCATCACTCATCTTTCTTCTTTCTCTCACTCATCACTCATCTTTCTTCTCTCTTCGTCTCTCTCTTTTTCTACGTCTTTCTCTCGATCATCTCTTTTCGTTCTCTTTCTCTCCCTCTCTTTGTCTATCTCTTGCTCATCTCTTGTTTCTCTCTATTTTTCTATCTCTCTCTCTCTCTCTCTCTCTCTCTCTATATATATATATATATCTCTTTCTCTCTTTGTCTCTCTCTCACTTATCACTCTTCTCTCTCTCTTTCTCTCTCTGTGTCCATTTGTTTGTCTCTCACTCTTCTCTCTCTCTCTATGTGTCTGTCTATCTGTTTGTCTCTCTCCCCCATTGTGTTCACCTTGCTCACTCTCTCCATCATCTCTTCTCTATTTACCGAGCTCTCCACTACAAGAAAATGCACTTTGTCTCTCTTTCGCTCATCACTTTGTCTCTGTCTGTCTGTCTATCTCTCTCTTTCTCTTTTTCTCTTTTCTCTATCTGTCTCTCACTCATCTCTCTCTCACCACCCATCTTCTCTACCACATTCACCACTACTGCAAATGCAATTCCACTACTACCACTGTTGTCACTCAATCTCTACAACTATCATTACTACCACCATCGCTACCACTCCACTACCACCACTACTACTACCATTATCTCTCATCCACAATCGCTATTCTATCTCCTCTACAACTACCACAACTTCACCACTTATCTCCTTCACCATCACTACCACCACCACTATCACCTCTTATCCACCACTTTCACCACTACTGCCACTTCCCATCCTCTACCACAAAAAATTAGTTCTTGATTTTTAGTAACAAAAAAAAAAATGGGCCGCAAAATTTTTTTTTTCATTGATCACAAAAAATTAACTTTATTTTAATAGAAAATATTATCCCTACTTCTACCAAATAAAAAAAATTAATAATTTTTTATTCATTAAAATAATATATGAAACAAATAAATTTTCAACCTTATTAAATGAAAAAAATTCATTAACAATCAAAAAAAATTATTTTAATAAAAAATAATTTTTTTTGGCAACGGCATCCTTCGTTGCAAAAAAAAAAAGTCATTTTATTATTTAAATATTCATTTATAATGAAAATCAAAAAAAAAAATTTATTTGTAATCTCTTCCAATATTCATTTGTAATGAAAATCAAAAAAAAAAAAATTCATTTGTAATCTCTTCCCCCTCCTTTCCATTCCCGCTCGGGTTTCCCCCCACCCCCAAACCCAAAATCCCCAATCTCTTGAACCGAAATCCCCAATCTCAAAATCCCTAATCTCTTCTTACATCTCTCTCTCTCTCTCTCTCTCTCTCCGTCTCAATTTGTTTCAGATGCTGATTCGGATGATTCACGGTCTAGGAGGAAGATAAAGAGCACGAGTTCTAGGCATAGAAGTAGGAAATCGGAATCAAATATCAACATACATACATATAAACTTGTTTGAATCGTCAATCAAATATCAACCAATCGATATCGATGGCTTCATCTTCGGATTCCATGGACAACACTTTCAGAGCTCGAGTCCAGAAGATCTTCGGGTCTCTCTCATCATCATCATCATCGCTAAGCCCTCCGTGGTCTCTCACCGACGGCGAGGTCGAGAAGAGAGAGTGGCGACAACCCTCCTCCGCCAAAGACGACGACCAAACCCCCATTTCTTTCTCTTTCAATGGCCTTGCTTGTAGGGTTGTAGGGTTCCGCCATGAAAGGAGGTAGATCGAAAACTGAGACCAAAAGGACCGATAGCAAGTAAGTTTTGTTTGCCTTGTTGTTTTTGGTGTTTTTAGATCTGAGATCTATTATGCGTGTGATTCAGAGTGTGTTTTTTTGGTCTTGAAGATCGATTTTTTTGTTGTTAGGCTTTCGGTGAAGAGAGGTGCTCCGAGCGAGAAGGCTGGTAAAAAGCCAGCGGTGAAGAAGGGGAAGGCTGCCAAGGACCCTAACAAGCCGAAGAGGCCTGCTAGTGCTTTCTTTGTTTTCATGTGATCATCTATTTTCCTTTCTCTTGCATGAAAATCGTTGTTAGATCTGTATATTCTGCGTCAATGAATATATTTTTAAATGTTTTAGGGAGGAGTTTAGGAAAACGTACAAAGAGAAGCATCCTAATAACAAATCCGTAGCCGACGTGAGTGTTTTCACCTCATTTGTTTTACAGATTTCTGATTTATGGATTTTTTTCGAGTTTGATTTCAATTTTTATTGTTTTTGGAATGTGGATTAGGTTGGTAAGGCTGGAGGAGATAAATGGAAATCTTTGTCAGATGCTGTGAGTAATTCAATTCCAAATAATGATTTGATTTTGATTTATTCTCTGAAATCAAATATATTTACTTGTTATTGTTGTTCAACTTTTATGTTTTGAAAAAATTAGGAGAAAGCTCCCTACGTTGCGAAGGTAGAGAAAAGGAAGACCGAATACAATAAAACTCTTGAAGCTTATAACAAGAAAATGGTAACATTCTTCATGATTCAATTAATTTACTATTATTCAATCAATCCCTAGATGTTTTAGGAAATTATTATTTGATTATTTGCAATAATGGTTGGTATAGGCTGAGGGTCCAGCTGATGAAGAAGAGTCTGACAAATTGAGATCGGAGGTGAACGATGAGGATGACGAAGACGATGAGAATTGGGAGGTTAGTTTTATTATATTCGGTCTTGCTTGAAGTTGTAGGGTTGCTTGTAATATGTTTCTTTATATATATTTGGATGAGTGTGGGAATTTTTAAAGTTATTCGTAGATGCATTGCTTATTTACTTAGAAAAGCTAGGGAAAATTGTGGAATAGATTTTTGAATTCTCGTTTTTCATTGTTTGGATCTAGATAAAAGGAATTAGCCTACGATAACTGTTTGCCTTATTTTTGTTGAATTTTTCAAACATCGAGATCAAATCTGATCTGATCTACCTTTTTCATAATTTTCCCCCCTTAAGCTTCATTTCAATTTGAGGTTGCAAATAGTTCTTATTAGCATGCACTGGTTACTGAAGTTTGTTCAAATGAAAACATCGTTCTACATTGATCCATTGATAATTATTCTGCGATTAATAGAAGAGATAGTGATGAGAGTCCTCTACTTAATTTTTTGAAGTGTAGTACTGTATGTCAGATGTTACCTTTATCTTGAATCAGTTGCTAATTTGCTATTGATATATTGTTTACTCTGTTTGGGTGGGGTGATTTGTTGAGAAATGATGACAAAGAGAACTTTTTTCCATGTTTGGTTTATAAGTTGAGTGAGAAACGGTTAGAAAGAGAACTCCCTTACTAAGTCTATTTCGTAATAGAAATGATGACAAAGAGAACTTTTTTCAATGTTTCACTTTTGGCCTTGTGATTCCAACCAAGCATCAAGCTTTCATTAACTTTATTTTTTTTAAAAAGAAAATTAAGATTTCGTTCTTGTTACTACTAGCCATTTAAAATTTTCATCCATTTAACATGCAATGTTTTCAGCATCTTAAGCACATGTATGTACAGAAAAAAGAAAAAAGAAGCTTCAGATAGTATTAGAATTGCTACCTAATTTGCTACTTTAATTACAGGTCTACGCTCTGTCTTGGCTGGTCATTGTTGCTGCAATGATCATCTTGAAGGTTAGTAGTACTCAAATTCTAAAGATTTATCTGCTTAATCTAAATTGTTCTGGATTTAAAAAAAAAAAGAAAAAAGGTTCTAATTCATTTATTTATATATATTTTTTTTCTGGTTGTACTATAATTTATCAAATGATATGTCTTTCAACTGCAGATTGTGTCCATGGGTAGGAAGAAGTTCAGTGCAGATTTCCAGTTGATGTTCAGACTTCTCAAGCTGTTCCTGTTTATTGGATCTGTGGTCACTGTTGTCACTTTGTTCGCATTCCTCAGTCTTACTGTTTATTTTATTGCTTTTTTTTTTTTTAGCTAACCAAAATGAGATTTTAATCCTTGCGTTTAATAGAAATAGTAACTGATGCAATTGTTGTTTGGACCTTAAGACGTGAATTATTTACTATCAGTATGTTCTTACACTTCTATTGTCATGTACAAAACTCTATATTTCACAGAAATATATGTGCTTATTTTCAATTTCTGGGTTAAAGATTTACAACTTCATTTTATCTATATGCAAAATTTAATTGCCAAGATCTTCTCGCTTCTGTCTTCATTGCTTGCGTGTTTGTTCATTTCTCTGTGTGGGTTTTTCTTCGGACCTACTCCTGATATCTGGTTGTTATATTTGAAATTTCTTTTGAATGAGCAGTCCTTGTGCCCCTCATGATTGAGTGAACATACGTAGACATGCCCAGTCCTTTGAGGAAATTTTCCGTGTGATTGTTCTTTCCGAGTTTGGCAAGATTTTTTGTTGTTTATCATTCAGGTGAAGCAATCTCTGGAGGAAAATTGGTGATTGATGTTGCATATTTTGGATTCCACATCTATAGTGAGATTGATGAACTCTGCGGGAAGACATCTTGCCCCATTTCTGCTGGTGATTTTTTAATTTCTCACTCTCAGGATTTACCTGGGTTCATTCCACCGGTAAGTCAACTTATAATTTAATTGTTGCAATGATATTGTGCATTAACATACTATGTGTTTATTTCATGTTTAGAACAACCCAGGTCCAATTGGTGGCTTTCGTTTGTGGTTTGGAATCAATCAAAGACACAGCTTGCAATCTCATCTGGAACGCATTAATAAAAAGCAATTTTTTTCTAATTTCTTAGCCTCTCTCTTTCCAGGGATTGCAACTTCTGATGGCATGCCTTTGTAGTCGCTATTGCTTGGTGATGATTGCCTTAGGTTAGGCCTTTAGGAGTAAAACATAGTAATGAATTTTTTTGTAATGGTTTGTATTGCTTGCCTTAGTAACTTTCAGCCGAAGCCTATGTTTTTTGAAATTGCATTACTACGAAAATGGTTGTATTATGATGTGATTCAATGTATTGGAAATACAAAACATATAGTAACTAGTATTTTCACTCCATTCGGGAAAAGAAATTGATCCATAGCTATCAAAACATCCAAGCAAGGTTAGGCGATAGCCCTGTAGGTAGCCTAGGGGCTGTAACCCTGATTGCTTAGGCAATATCTTTGGTTGTTTTTCTGGAAACTTTATAACTTGAATCTGTTGCTTGGCATACCTTTATAACTTATTTGGTCTATATAGTAGCAGTACATATGAATTTTGCCAACTCAAGTATGACATCATTACATCACTGTAATCCTTAGAAAATAATTTTAATTGTCAACAGTTGGGGGAAAAACTGTCATGGCATCGGTCACAACATTCATAATCCATCAAAATCAAGTCAATAACATCAAATTAAATATTGATAGAAAGATAGCTACTTAATTGAATATGGAATTGGTTAGAAAGTTTTTGTTTATTAGTCGTATTGTCTATCTTGCCTTGTTACACATTGTTGAAGTTAAGTACTTTTTCAGATTAATTTCAAAGATCTGCTTTTTTTCATTGTTGCGATTATTGTTAATTTCTAAGAACAATGGATGCCCAGTTAGGAGAAATTAATAGCGTTTTTCATTGTTTAGGTTGTAAGTTTAGGGTTCAAAGAACAATCTTACTTTGTATGTGCCTTTTACCATGGAGCTTATAATGTTTTGATATATATACAGGGTACATACATTCTTACAATGAAGATGGAAGATGGAAACAAAAATCAGTTGACTTGCATCAACTTTGATTTCAGCATTGGGTTTTTTGTGTCTGACGCTGTAGAGCTTTGAAGATTGGTTTCATCAGCCACCGCTTGTAGCATATAATCAATGTATATGATGAAATTCTTTTATCTACTGACCTTACATCTATTTCTGCCTTTCCAGTGTCATGTGATGTTGATTATGACTATCAATCATATCTGTACATTTGATCCATGTGCCTAAAATTATTTCCACATTTGTGATAATTGTTTAAGTGTACTCATGACTTCCCTTTAATGTTAAATCAGGTAATTGTGATAAAAATTAGCGAGTGATTGATCATTGTGAATAAATAGAAAGTCCACTACAGAAACTTCGTTGACACTATCATAAACCTTGATGCGTAATTATATGAATGGAAAAATATTTTATTATGAAGAAATTGTTATTTTTATATTATTATGGAGAAATTTTAATATTTTTAATATTTTTATCGTAGGATGTTTTTTTCTTTTTTGTGACGGCATTACACCGTCGCAAAAAATAGAAAATTTTAATATTTTTATTAATTTTGTTACAGGTTTTACTTTTTGCGACGGCATTATACTGTCACAAAAAATAGAAATTTTATTATTTAAAATAGAAATTTTATTATTTTTTAATATGTTTTGCGACAGCATTACACTGTCGTAAAAAATAAAAATTTTCATATTTTTAATACTTTTTGTGACGGCACCACACCGTCAAAAAAAATAGTGTTTTTGCCGTTGAAAAAAAAGATTATTAGCGACGGTATTTTTTGCTGTCTCAAATAATATTTTTAGCGACGGTAAAATAGTGCCGTCGCAAAAAATTCAAGAAATTTCAAACGTTATTAGCGATTACACAGTGCCGTCGCAAAAACTTTTTGGCGACCCCTGCATTTGCGACCCCCTCTTGCCGTCACAAAAAGTCATTTTGCCGTCGCAAAAAGTATTAGCGACGGCATTAGGAGTATTAGCGACGGTAATTTACCGTCGCAAAAAGTCAATTTTTTTGTGGTGAATGCACTTGATCTTACATTTTCAATTAATACTACACACATAATCATATCATTCAATTTTATTGTACTTAAAATCCAATCCAATTTAATTTAATTTAATTTGCTATAAACAAACACGACCTTGTGATTTTGATTAGAGAAATATCTCACTTACTATATTCTTATAACAGTATTTATATGCATTAAAAAAAACATCAATCAAAACAACTATCATGAATTTTAGAAGTAAACAAAAATATTTATGTAAATAGATTAAAAAAAAGCTGTGAAAACAAAATACCACTTTGTCAATCATCTATCATCTTAGTATATCGATCAAATCAAAAGAGGTAAAAAAAAAAAAACCTCAGTTATTAGATTAAAAATTTTAAAAAAATAAAAATTGTAAATCAGTGGTAACTTCATAAAATATTTACAAATTTATAATTAAAAAAAAATTATGACTTTAATTATTAAAGTTGATGAAATTTATCACTAATTTAAAATTATTTTTGAAACATACATTGATTTGCAATTTTTCCAAAAAAGAATACCCAATATTATATTATACATTTTTCATTCTCTTGGTCATGTGAAGAAAGCATAAGAAATTCTCTCTATGTTATAACAAAAATAAAAAGGAAATTTTGGTTAAAAATCCAACTTATAGAGTGTTTTAAGATAGAGGTCCACAGTTTGGTCTATATTGGTTAAAAGGACAAACTGTTGGAAATTTGAGTTTTTTAGGTTTATTTTTCGGCAACATTGAGTCCAAATTGAAGAGGGACTCATGCACCTTTCGAGGTGGGTCTGAGTGGTGACATATTTTTTACCATATGGTGAATCATGTCTTAAAAATGGTTCGTCAAAAACATTTCCGAGTGGGTTTGGTGTCATTTTCGTCAAAAATGGGAAGTTAACATCATTTTCAGGTTCGTGAAAATGGAAGTTGAAGAGACAGTGGGTTTGCCCATTAATGGCTTATCCCACATTAAAATAAGGAGAGTATATATGAGTATATAAATTCTAGGTTGACACACCTGGGATGGGACCCAAGGGGCACCCAAGTTTTGTCAGAAATTTTCCCACAAAAATTTGAATCAAATCAATTCAAAAATTTGAATTTTCCTACAAAAGTTTTGAAAAAATTCAAATGAATTTTGTCCAAAAAATTAAAGTTAGGACCCAACCCACATCACCCACATCATGCACCCGACCCACAACCCAATTTCGTAGTGCTGCATTATTAGGGTCTAGTCATTGCATCTTAGGTGGTCGGCGTCATTTGTTCTTGAGCACCGTAGCGAGGACGTAATAATCTTAAGGAAAGTGTGTCCAATACACGTCTCGACTTTGTTGGGTTGGGTTTCCATCCTATGTGGAGGAAGGCCCAAAACATTTAGTAAGCCCATGTGAATTCCAAAGCCCACATGGAGAGGTTATGTTTTTTGAAAAGATCTAGCCCATAAGTTTAGGGTTACAAACCTTTTCTTTGAACACAAAAAGAGACATAGAAGCTGCCACCGAAACAGAGAGGAGAGGAGAAATTCTGTCCAGCAGTGATCAAGCTATCCGATCAACAAGAATCTGTGGTCCGAGTGAGCTGAAATTTGGTAGGCGAGTTCACAACTCAAGACTCTAAATTCTGGACGGTGGAGATCAGATTTGGAGTTTTCTACTGCTGGTTTTTGGCCCGTGAATAGTACCATTTTTGGTGAGATTTTTCCTAAACTTTGCAGTTTGATCTTTGGTTGCCAAGGAAGCTTATTTGTAAGTTGTTCTTGATTGTGTGCCTCTAGTTCTATCTAGAGAGAACTCTTGTATACCCATTATTTGTTTATAGTGGAGATATTTGGTGGACTACGGTCCCGTGGTTTTTCCTTTCCACATCGGGAAGGTTTTCCACGTTAAAAATTTGCTGTCGCCTTGTTGTGTGATTGTTGGATCATCGCTTTCAGATTATTTTCAGAATATATTGTGCTCTATTAAATTACTTCCTAATAGGTTCACACAAAGAGGGAGAATAAACTACTTTCACTATTTTTGTGCCGGATTCGGATATTTCGAATTGGTTTTTTGTTTTGTTTTCTCCCAACATAGTGGTATCAGAGCTTAGTTCATATTTTTGTGCATCTTGTGTTGAATAATGGAAGCAAATTTGAGTAGAATGGTTACCTTGAATGGTTCTAATTATCACACATGGAAAGGAAAAATGGAAGACCTCCTTTATGTGAAACAATTTCATCTACGCCTCCCAAATTTCAGCTCAATCGGACCACAGATTCTTGTTGATCGGATAGCTTGATCACTGCTGGACAGAATTTCTCCTCTCCTCTCTGTTTTGGTGGCAGCTTCTACGTTTCTTTTTGTGTACAGAGAAAGGGTTTGTAAACCTAAACTTATGGGCCATATCTTTTCAAAAAACATAACCTCTCCATGTGGGCTTTGGAATTTGTATTGATTGTTGAGAACCGAACAAAGTCACAGTGAAGAATATGTAGACTCTTGGGAGACATTTAGAATGTCATTGTCTAACTCGGCTCCAGATGGTGTAATCAATATGGATCTGGCTAAGAGTAGTATTTTGAATGAAGAGATGATGAGGAAATCACAGGGATCTTCTTCACAGTCAGAGGTTTTGGTTACAGAAAGGAGGGGGAGAAGCAAGAGCAGAGGTCCGAAGAACAGAGATAGAGGTAGAAGCAAGTCCAACAAGTTTGCTAATGCTGAGTGTTATCATTGTGGCATGAAAGGGCACATCAAGAAACAGTGCAGAAAATTGAAGAGAGAGAACAAGGAGAAAGGGATTGAGCATGATGGAAAGGATAATGATCAAGTTGCCACCGCTACTTCTGAAAACTTTCTCATTGTTTATGATGAAGATGTTATTAACATAGCATGCCATGACACCAACTGGGTGATTGATAGTGGTGCCTCTATTCATGCTACATCTCGAAAAGATTTCTTCACATCCTACATACCTGGTGACTTTGGTTCAGTAAAGATGGGTAATGATAGCTTGGCCAAAATTATTGGTGTTGGAGACGTGCACTTGGAGACGAATAATGGCACGAGGTTGGTTCTTAGAGATGTAAAGCATATTCCTGATATCCGTATGAATTTGATTTCTGCAGGTAAACTTGATGATGAAGGGTATTGCAACACTTTCAGTAATGGTCAGTGGAAGCTCACTAGGGGTGCTATGGTTGTGGCTCGAGGCAAGAAGCATTCTACTTTGTACGTAATGTAAGCAAGGCTCCCCAAAGAAGCTATTAATGCAATGGATGATGAGTCTACAGTGGAATTGTGGCATAAAAGGCTTGCTCACATGAGTAAGAAAGGCCTAGCAACATTGGCTAAAAAGAATCTTCTGTCTGGAATGAAGAATGCACTTTTGAAAAGGTGTACTCACTGTTTGGCAGGAAAGCAGAATAGAGTTTCCTTCAAGAGTTTCCCTCCTTCAAAAAAGCCAAATATACTTGATTTGGTATATTCAGATGTCTGTGGTCCTATGAAGACAAGAACACTTGGTGGCTCCCGTTACTTTGTGACCTTCATAGATGATTATTCAAGAAAGTTATGGTTCTACACTTTAAAAAGCAAAGATCAAGTGTTGGAGACTTTTAAACAGTTCCAAGCCTTAGTTGAGAGACAGACTGGGAAGAAGCTCAGGTGCATCAGAACAGATAATGGGGGAGAGTATTGCAGTCCTTTTGATGATTATTGCAGACAACAGGGTATTCGACATCAAAAGACACCCCCGACGACTCCTCAGTTGAATGGTTTAGCTGAAAGGATGAACAGGACACTAATTGAAAGAGTTAGATGCTTACTTTCACAGGCACGGTTGCCAAGATCCTTTTGGGGTGAGGCTTTGAGTACAGTTGTACATGTTCTTAATCTCACACCATGTGTTCCTCTTTAGTTCGATGTACCAGATAGAGTTTGGACTGGCAAGGATGTTTCCTATGATCACCTGCGTGTCTTTGGATGTAAAGCATTTGTTCATATTCCCAAAGATGAGAGGTCTAAGCTTGATATGAAGACCCGACAATGTATTTTTCTAGGCTATGGCCTAGATGAGTTTGGCTACAGGTTATATGATCCAGTTGACAAGAAACTATTAAGAAGCCGAGATGTTGTATTTATTGAAGATCAAACTATACAAGATATTGAAAAAGCAGATAACACAATGTCCTGGCATAGTGATGGTTTAGTTGACTTGGATCTTGTTCCTCTGACAGATTTGCCTGCA